GTCCAATGACTTTGAGAATTATGTCTAACCGCTTTTATTTTGTGGAAGTCTCTTGATCTCATTATACCCTCAGTGATGTCTGAAGAAATCCAAGGGAGAGAATTTCCACGAGTTCTCATACGTCTAAGGGGAGCGTGTCGATCAAGGACCTGGAGGTATAGTGATTTCCATACCTGCCAGCATACATTAGAATTGTCATGTTGGGCAATGTTCTCCCACGGCATCTGTGAAAGATCCGTAAGAAAATCATTGGCATTGAAATTTTTAAAGTTACGAATATGTTTAACCTTTTCCCGTGATTTGGGAGTACAATGTTTTCTAATAGCGAAAATCATACTGTGATCAGAAAGTCCAAGGTGTATGACACCAGACTTTGAAATATTTTCCTCTTTATTTGTCAGAATTAGATCAATTAGAGTTGCTGATGTTCCAGTAATCCTTGTGGGTTCATCAATAAGCTGAACGAACTGATAAATTGATGAAAGGAACTGTAGCTTGCGAGTATAAGACTCACAAGGAGATTTCAAGATATCACAGTTCAAATCACCCATAATTATTACCTCTCTATTTTCTATATCGCTATTTCTTAAAAAAGCCTCATATTCATCAAAAAGAGCAGATTGCAAGTTAGGAGCTCTATACCAAGTGCTTACTAAAAAGACTTATTGTGAGGTTTACTAATTTCAATGCATATCATTTCTAGTGAGTCAGTTACTAAGTCGTTTCGTTCAGAAAACGGTATAGAGTCACGAACATACAATAGTACTCCCCCACCAGATCTAGATCGGTCATGGCGAATGTGAAAGTAACCAGCGATTGCTATTTCACTGTCAGGCACCAAATGGTTTAATTTTGTCTCGTTTATAGCAAGAATATCAACTGGTATGTTTTGCATGACCAAGCGAAGCTGATCAATGTTTTTCAACAGGCTGTTAATGTTCAAGCACGCTAATCGTAAGCCTTTAGAAGACTCTAACTCATTAAATAAATTGTTAAAGTTACCTTGTATGGGGTCACACCGATTACCTATTTTGTTCGTTGTCTCCGAGAAGAGTACTGTCCGATACATTGAGTCCGATATTATTTCCTTCTGCGGGTGCGGGTGCCCTTGTCTGGAGGGACAATTATCTTTAACAGTTCTCCAAGTTTCAGAATTGCCGATCGCTGAAAATCCTCGTAGTTATGCCTTCGTTTACTTGGAGAGGTTGATGCACTGCCCCCCTTGAGAAATTTGATAAAATGGACTGCTAGAATAGCCGAGCCCTTCGCATTTAGATGAAGCTTACTTTCTTGATACAATAATAGAGAAAAAATATTACAACTAAGACTGTTAAATTGTTGTACAGGTTTTTTTTCCTTCAAGTATTCTATCTGACTCGGTCATCTTGACCGTATATATGTATGTAGGTTTGCTAAATAATGTTGAACAACATGCAAATAGCGATCATAACAACGGCTTTGACAACCCGGGATTAGCAACTGCTTATTTCTGTTGCGATATTTTTTATTTCTGTTTGGAAACTTATTGCTCAAAACAAGCCATCAAAATTAAAACGAATTTCAATTGCGTGTTGAAAATAAGAGAGAGACTCACAACGTTGCTACATGGTTGTAAGGCAAAAATTTTTCTACCGTACCGGGTTCGAACCGGCGACCTAAGGAATACTGATTTGGTAATAACTACAGTCCTTTGCTCTACCAACTGAGCTAACGGTAGGTTTTAAAACTAACTTCTACTTCATACTTTTATACATGCAAACTATGAGAAACCTCTTGTCGTTTTATTACAAATTTGTCAGAAACTAGTTGTGATGCTAATTGATCACCTGCCACATTTGGCCCAGGCCTGCCCGCGTTAATTGGTCGCGCTACCTGGCGTTATAGATTTTGCAAGCTCATTATAAAATCCGCCAGATTGTTAGCCGAACAAAGTGACGTCATAGATTTTGCATGCTAATTACTTCCGACACCTAAGTTTGCATACTAATTACTTCCGCCGCCAGAGTGGGGGTATCACTACTGGACTATTATATCAGTTGGTGTTATTCTGTGCGATAAGCGAATATTATTGGAAAGAGGGCTACCATACACGTTGAAATCACCAAATAAACAGCTTATGCACACATTTCTCCACTTCGTCGTAAGTTTACAGAGCAGATTTTATACCTTGGCACTGGTCTTTATCTTTGATATGAACATTTATTCCCCTAGTTTAAGGTTATTTAAGATTCATCCTGTCGTAAGTCTTCTACTAGCAACCAATCGACAATATTTCACTTTAGCGTTGTCTTTGCCGTTACGTTGGCTTCGCATTACTTTTGTTGTAAATACCTTGATCGCGTTAAATTAGTTATTCTTCAGGCCAGTGATATAGCCAAAAGCATTAACGTCCTTGTGCGATTTTGCAGATACATCGTTAGAACTGAGGATTTTAGAAGGCGTTATCTGTACCTTCTCAAAGTTGTAGACAAGATAGGCTATATTGTTTACGTGCAATACGCATAATTCAAAATATTCAGCAAAACCGGTCTTCTGTTAAAAGAAAGAATGGTTAATAGAAATTTGTCGTTTTGAGTGATATAATCGTGTGGCGTTATCGACCGTGTCGTTCAACAATGAAAAAAATTGTTGTGAAATTAGCGAATATGAAATAGCATTTTGTGAGAAAACTGCGGGTTTACGGCGCGGGACGTCTTCGGATTCGAACTCAGCGTGCTTGAAAGTGTTAATTCCCGTAAAAATATTTCAGTTCCAAGACATGCTTAATGAAAGTGAACGATATCAGGACGCAGCAAACGGCCTATACATGCATACATGTAGTAGGCTTAACGCAGCGATATAAGTGGAAGTATACTTACCACATTTTCCATCTGTGTCCCCCCCCCCCCTCCTCTATGGTTACTAAATTTATTCAAATACCTAGATTGCGGGTCAAAGAGATCGCGTGGTTAACGCACAACCTGCACAGCAGCTTGAAGGTATTCCCGTGCCGTGGTAATTTTAGAGGACACTGTCAATATACATTCGTTTCATTTTCTCAAATATAAAACCAGGTCACAGATTTTTCATATCAAGATCTTGAAATATTTTGACTGAAAGCAATGGCCTGTTGTCCACTATCTTGGATTAATTCTTAACGTCAACACTATGGTCTTGGTAAAGTCAGGAGTGCGATCAGTGAGTGTGATCCTCGATATCCGAGATGGTGGAGAGCACACTGTTGACTTATTAGTCAAAAAATTTCAAGGATCAAGCAAGTTATAAAAAAGTTGTAAAAAATTACTGATATATTGTCTGTGGCAAACAAGGCTTTTCTAAGAATTAATCAGTGCATGCATAATACCAGTGAATATCCTTGCACTATTCACCAACATTGAGATGAATAATTGTTTTATCATACACCATAACAGAATCAAAATGAGCAAAAAACAAAAATAATATAAAATTTGTATTACAGCTCGCGCAATAGTTGTAGCTAATTATAAATCTATAATTTACATGCAGTATTTAGAACCTTTTGGAAATTTATTCATTAGTTTAAAAATATACCTCTACACACTGTTAAACAAAATTTGTGGATTTTTGTGTTTGGCTGGAAATTTTCGCAGCTTCGTTTAGTAAAAAAAAATTGCTTGTCTGGGAAGACATTTTGTCTAAGAGATATCCGAAGTTGAGCAACTAATCAAATTGCTCGAAAAGCACTATCCTGCATGTACTTCCCAAGTATATGCTAATGCTGTTTATCTCATTCCAGTTGTCTCAATGCGTCCAGATGTGGTAACGAAAATTATCCCCGCTGACGGAGGTGTTATTGAAATTGATGGCTTCATATTAAAGACGGGTCCCGGATGTCGGGCTGAAGATACAAAGATCACATTGAAAAAACAGCCTGATAGGGATATTGCCATCAAGTCAATGCTCGACTTAGGTTTACTCAAAGTTGCCCCACGAGATGTTGAATTCCTCCCAAACGGCTTGAAATTCTTGAAACCAGCAGATCTCACAATCAGATTTAGAAACACCGTCTCCGATTCTAAACCTTTCATCCTACATGGTTCTTATAGACGCGACTACCAAAAAATCGTTTGGGAACCGGTAACTAATGGTATCGAAGTAAACAATGTGGAGGGGATTGTAAACGCAAAAATTAATGGTTTTTGTTTGTACTCACATATTTTGGCGAGGTGCGGAATGTTAGGGCCGATCGTTAGTCATCTCAATCACTCATTTACATGTTGTACATACGTCCTCTATCGCAGAAAACCAACGATGGATACATTAGATATTTCCGTGGTCATAATAAGTGAATTTGTCGATGATGATAAAGGAGAAGATATTAAACAATTAAAAAATCATCTTGACTTAGGTTACATTAAAGGAGAAAAAGGAGTGTTGAAACCTGTTCACACAGATCGCCGTCTCGAAATGAGTTTACATTTTCCTGGAGTTGAAAACTTTCCTTTTTCGTTCGGTGTAAATGAGTCTCTACTGGATTCTGTAGGTTTCGTTATCGATCATTTTCAAGAAATTGCAATAAAGAGTCCGGTAAGGGGTAAAGTGAAGATAAGTGAAGCACAACGAAGTGAAAAAAAGGAACTATTGTGGAGTATGAATATTTGTGAGACAAAAGAGCAGTTTGGAGTTAAAGAAGCTGAAGGTAATTTAAAATTTACCAGCCTTGTTTTGAAAAGTATGAGACATTGTATATCTTTTTTTCTTAGTTATTATGTCCGTTAACTTAGCAATTGAGTTCGGAAAACACACGTCAGATATTGCGTACTTTTCGAAACATGATTAACTGTGAAAGAGTTCTCCTTATTTGGGATCAGAATTTATCTTATCTGTCTTTACTTTTGTAAGTAAAAATTTCGAAATCCGTAATCCGGTCTGAGTTGGTCAGATCGCTGATCTGTTCAGTCATAATACATGGGTGTGCAGAAATACCAGATTTATTTCGAGTGTTGAACATGATATCTCACGAGTGAGCGCAGCGAACGAGTGAGATATCATGTTCAACACGAGAAATAAATCTGGTATTTCCAAACACCCATGTATTTTTCTGTTTATTATATAAAGGACAGTCCTTGAAAAGCGGTAATTTTTACAGATAAGCGATAATTGAAAAGAAATAATTTTCACATGTGCGATTATCATTAACCTAAGAACTTTCATTTTGAGCTTACAGTTGAATACTGTTTGCAATGCCTTTTAATTCCTAAGAGATTGCTTGCAACACACCTATTTAAATAATTGTTTTCAAACACCTTTATATACTAAAGCTAGAACTAAATCTCTTTCAATACTTTCATTTGCTTATTCAGAAAAAAAATTCCGTGGAATTTTTATGTATTACCGTCATTCTCAAACAATTGAATCGCTTGAATTCTTTCGATCAATCAATCATTATATATATAAACGAAGTTACATAATGTCAACGATGGATAGTAGCGAAGTAGTTGTAGTTCGCTACTGTAGCGAACTACAATTTTCAAGTAGCCTTTTGTTTTTTACTATACTTTTTTAAAACAGTAGCTTGTAGTTTAAAATTGTTAGCAACTTGATAGAATAGAATGATACTGACGACACGGCCGGTTTTCTTAAAATCAATAGTCAATAGACAATCACGACAATTAATAGTCAATTTGCGCTCCTGAACACTGCAGTGCTCACAAAAATGTTGCTTTGTGTTTACTGTTGCTGCTCGTAAGTCAATTTGTTACAGGTTACATTACAGCCCGAGTTAGTAGAATGCTCCAAATATAGTTAAACTAAAAATATATAGCGTAGCGAAATAGTTCGCTACATTTTTTAAGCAGTAGCTGTAGTCAGTAGCGAACTACGTTTGTTTAAAAGTAGCAGTAATTGTAACTGACTACATATTTTTGAAGTAGTTGCATGGACAGCTTGGAGCACATACATGTTTAGGATGTTTACTGTATTCTGTGACTGTGTCTGTGCTGCACAATGTTGACTCATCTATATGTATAAATCTCTTTTTGTAACTTGATCATTTCCCAAACCTTCTTTGCACATTTCAGGTCTCTTCATTTTAAGGCAGTTGACTTAGAAAGGATTGCAATATATGGGCGATCTATGTCTATTTCATATTAACGTGGAACGCATTGATCGTGTGTTGTAATCATTTTGTATTGTAGCTTTGTTAAACTTTGTAACCTGTTTCTATTGTTTTACAATGTCAATGTAATGTGTAGGTAGGACTTAATTTGGGACTCCTCAGTCCTGTTGTCTGTACCTTCAATCGTTTTGTTGATTGTAAAGTTTATAAATAATTGTAGATCTTGTAGAGAACTACAAAAATTTTGTATAGTCAACCCATGCACCTTGCATAATGTAACACATTGCCGTATATGTCAAAGAATATGTTATTTTGTATTGCATTGTATTGTATTATTGTATTTTTGCATGTTATTGTACTATACTATATTGATTTATACTCCACAGTGCTAACATATTTCTTATTTTTATTTCAGTACAATACTTAAACCCTGAACCAGAAGGTACAAACCCTGAACCAGAAGGTACATTAGACATCTTATCTGAATGGATATGTATGACACGATTCCTGGAAAATTTTTAATATTTTCAAATTCCATAGATCCTCTATTAAGCCCTCTCCCGCATGACGTTTTTATTTCAGTCACAGATATAGGTGGCTTAAAGAGAAGGATGTTTTGCTAAATTTCTTTCTCTCAAGATTTGTTTGAAAAGGGCAGACTTGATAAAAAGATTTAGGCTAATTATGATATTATGCACCATAGTGAATAGCCTTTGTTTTCCATTTCTAGTTGTGTATTCAAACACAAAACTCACAAAAGGAGAAATAACTCGAATGAGCCGCAAGGTTGAACTTGATTGGGACAACTTAGCAGGGCTCATGGATATTCCGTATTCTGATCGAGAGGAAATCAGAGTCGACTACCTGAATTATCCGGGCATTAGGTCGAAAGCCAAAAAAGTTTTCGAGCTTGTTAATGACAGCACGTTTTTCAATCGTCATATTCTTGTAAAATACTTCAAGGAACTGGGTCGGCACGATTTGGAAAAAGAAATGATTCCTGTCGAAGACCAGGTATTTCATGATGGAGAGCTTTCTTTGCCCCGTGATCCAAGTGTCATATATATACTGGAGCTGTTCCTCCCAATATTAAATGTTCTTCGTTATAAAAAATAACTACAGTCACTGCAGTGTTATGCGGTATTCTCTTTTTTCAATATCGTTTTCTAAGTATCACGCAATAACTTAGGCCTTTACTTAGAAATATGTAAAACAGTGAAGTAACTTGCTTCGTCTATGCTTCCTTGTTTATATAATTTTCATTTTGTTTAATAAAAAAGAGCATCGGTTACCATGGTTTGGTAAAAGTTGGTTTCTTTTTCTGGATAGAACGTTTCATACGATCATCTACGTTCCATTTACTCCTTTTCCATGTTTTAGAGCATTTTAAAATTCTCTTATGAGTTCTGGCGAGGAAGAGGAAATAATGTGCATGTTGATCCCGAACGGGAATTTCCGATCAAAATTTTTCGTCCTATTTTGCACAAATTCAAACCAGATGAATTTTTGTTGTTAATGGTAACTAACCAATGAACCTGATTGTTTCTCTCTAAACAGAATGGAAGTGATGAAGTAGAAACATCACCAACGCCACCTGTAATCGCCGAGGAAGATTTACTGCACACACCTCTCTCCCCACGTGAAATGTCCAGACTTGCCCGACGCATTGTGGTTGAGTGGAAACGCCTCGCTGATCTTATGGATATACCCGGAGCAGATACGGTTGATATTCAATATAACCTTATATACAATGATGATCGTTCTCGAGCCGAGAAAATTTTAGCCAGTTTCAACAACAAGGAAGACTTCTCTCGTGAAAAGCTGGCTCGCTGCTTAGAAGAACTCCAACAGTTGGACTTGATCGAACCAGTTCTCACAGGGGAGTGGAGAAAGTTATGAAAACCATCGAAGAATTATTGCCCGAAGAGGTTGATGGACCATGTACACTGATGGACATCGTTTTGAATTCATTGAGCCCATTTTGAAGCCAGGATATTTTTAATGAGATGGGATTTTAAAGTGTGTCAAAATTTCTGTAAATAAGATAACTTGGTGTTTAAATCAGCTACATGTCTTTACCATGTAGTTTAATTGTAAGACACAGCTTCCCGTATTCCGCTTATGTGTTCTAGAACGTTTTAAACACAACATAATGAGTCTAATGAGTTTGAGATATTGGTTTGATCTCATTAGTAATTTGATATTGTAATGACAGTAGATTTGTGGTAGTGCTGACACCAATATGATCACCATTGGTTTCATGATACGCACAGCAAACACTACAGTAGATCCACTAGCCCGGCAGACTTGCCATTCAGAGCAGTGTTGACCACAGTATAATTATTACCCGAATAGGTTGATAGGCCATATCGTAAGTCGTGGGTGCATGACGTCATGAATAATTATTATATAAACAATTTTCAAAATATTATTTTACAATCATAATCTAATTTTACTCTTTGGTCGAAGATTCCTCAAGATTTAAAGGAAACTGAATTTGTCTCTTCTTTTAAAAATATTATGATTACTCGTTGTGAACTGGATTGCATCTAACTACATTAGCATTAAATTTAAGAGTTTTAATGATTACATTGTTTTAAATACTCATTGATAATTCATAAACCTTGTGGCAAATCATGTCAGCCATAATATGTCACGTGGAGTGACTTTATACAGCATAATGGTTCATCCTAAGAAGTATTCTTTTGTAGTCGTATTTTAAGCTATTCAAAACACTCGCGTTGTCGTGTTTTATCAGACATAAAACGCTCGGCTGCGCCTCGCGTTTTATATCTCATAAAACACTCCTATACTCGTGTTTTAAATAGTACTTAAATAGTGTATCATCAATCTCTTGTTTTGTTTTGTATTTTGTATATTTAATATCTCTACTGTATTAGTCATATTTATGTATTGTAATTGGTTGCGATTAAACTAAACTATATATTTCTGTTTGAGTGACACCCCTCGTGGAAATCAGGCCAGCGTGGTTAAATTATATATAAAGTTTTACATACATACATACATTCCATGTATCCTTGGTATCTATGTACGTACGACTTTTTATTGATCATCAAATAACCTGGTTTTCAATATTGAATTACTGTACATCGTCGTAGCAGCCTTGGGATATTAAAGTCGTCCTAGTACATTCTTCTGAGTTGAGCCCATTTTGAAGCCAGAACTATAATAGTATTACCATTCAGACAAGCATTAGTATTACCTACGCCGCGATAAAAAGTTGTTTCCAAGTTTTATACTGAACCAACGTTGTGATTGGACAATTTTACGTTTCACGTGTCAAAGTAATGATGATACGGGAGCGTAACATTGCGTTTTGCAACGGTCAATTTCTCTTCCGTGTTGAATCAAGACAATTTCTGCAAACCGAAATTATAAAATACTCTTTGGCACTTCTGCTGTTTTTGTTAGTATTTTTGTTACATTTTTATTTTGTCAAACGATAGGCAAAATACTAGTTCTTGCAATTCTTGGGTTTCACTACGGCATTATGCAGTAAATCTGACGGGGGGTCAACCTCAAATGTATTGATGCTTATGCTGTACTGGAGTGCGGAGAAAATGATACGAAATTCCATGTATTCGCCACGTACCAAACACACAAGGCTAATACTTCCTTCGCCTTTCCCTTTGCCGCCTGCGCTCTTTCCCCCAGCGGCTACGCTCGTGTTCCAAGATCCGCCATGTAAAGTGTAGTGAAATGTTTCTCATCGTAATATTAAATCCTAAGAAAACTAAAGCCTCTGCGGAGGAGAGAGAGGCTATTTCATTGTAAAATTTTACAACAGTTTAGAATATGGTAAACTGCCGAATTAGAAAGAAAGTCTAATATTTATCCAGACTATAATAAGGACGGTGAAGCCACATTTCGAGTGGTCGCCAAGCATTTGAAACAAACATTGCAAGTTGAAGCAATTTCTGGCTTCGGCAAAGTTAACGCCCAAAGCAGTATTCTATACTAATTGCCTGATTGGTTCTACAGTGTAGATTTGAATGCAATGATGAACGCGTAGAATCATGAGGTAGACTGGTAATTGTTCCAGACTTTCACAGTTCTAACATTAACAAGGCAACTTTTCCGGCTGAAATAGGGATGTTTTGTACTTTGGAACAATGTAATCCAAAGATGAGCTGTTTCTATACTTCATTAGTTAATTTAACCACGACTTTATCAGCTAGAAACAAAACCAAAAAATAAAATTCTGCATTAAATCAATGGCATAGACTGCATAGAAGAACCTGGGGGCGTCAAACATGATGACAGGAACTGAAGAGGATCGCAAACATAGTGCTTAAAGTACCGTTGTCGCGTGATGGCTCTGTTTTCTTTCAACGGTATAATATCTGTGTGCACACAGGTTCCTGTGCGGTTTCACGTATAGCGAGGTTGAAGCGATAAAAATTGCCGGCTAAGGAAGTCAGGAAACCGAAGTTTTCCTGTAAAACGTGAATAACGGCAAGTCCATGTCGATATTTTACCGTTAAGTCGATCACGTTCGCTGAAAGCGCGAACTACAACTTGCATGCACTGTTTGAATAAAGTTTGTTTGTTTTGCATAACTCATGCATTTCGATTTACACACATAGGCCGGTTGAATGTTCAAAGGTGGATTAGTGCTAACCCTCGGAGTTAAGATTTACTAAACCCGGCGCTGTTTTAGTTTATGTACGTATTTCAATACGTCTATTTTTGTTTGTTTCAAAATGTCAGAGAAGTAAACTCCTATCGATCCAGACAAAATCTCTGAAGAAATATTTCCAAATCACAAATGTATCAGGACAAGCTGTCAGGAAGATTGCTTTGAATTTTAGGTTAACCTAGTGCTAAGCTAACTCAGCTTTGAGCTAAGTTAGCTTAGTGCTAAGCTAACTCAGCTAACTCGGCCCATGCATGCAGTTTGTTAATCTGTCATGTCATCCAACGTTCGTCCAAATACAACCAAATATGATCAGTTCCCAAATTGGCTGTCATCCAGTGTTATCCTATTATGATGATAATTAATAATCCTTAGGCCACACGGATCAAACGTCGCTCTCTTCATGGTTTAACAAAAATGTTATAAAATACATGGAAATAAATTACATATAAAACAAATTACAATAATTTCCATACGTTTCGGCGCATGAGAAGAGCACCGTTTGCTGTCGCCCCAGAGTCGCATAATGCGACAAGACCCGTCCCCCCAACGTCGCCTCAATTGTCTATGTCGTATACCTAAGTAATCCAATCTGCCAAAATTACATTAATAAACAAACGTCGCACAGTTGCATGTGTAGCACGTAATACAGAAAAGTTTCGTTGATAAAGCTAGACATGAATCCATATATATCCCGTTTTCGTTCTTCTGCCTTCGTTCAGAATGAATATTTAGGCAAACTTCGTTGTGAACGAAGGCAGAAGCATAAAGACGGGGTATAGTTTCATGTCTGTGTAGTTCAAAAAAAAGTTATCTCTGAGTAAAGATAAGGATTACGCCTGCCGCACACGAGAGAAACCTGCTCAGCTAACCGCCTCGCGTGGCGGTTAGCTCAACTATGCATTTTTATCGCACACGTTGGGAAAACTACTCAACATGAGCAACATTTGTTAACACAATCGTTTACATTTCTCTCCATTCGGTCGCCATTTTGACCAAAGTCACGTGAAGAAACTGTGGGTTCTCATTGGCTACTAGTTATATTCGAGCAGCTCAGCACTAAGCTCGCAACATCTGCAGACGTTTAGTAGATTTTTTCCTCGGCCAGGTGAAAAATATCAAACACGATAGACATTTTCCTCAAGGCTTCGAGAGATTAAATCCTCGCGAAAACTATCCGCACACGAGAGAAACATGAAAACTGACCCTCAAGCCAGCTATAGGTCAGCATAAGGCCAACTTAGACTAGACAACTTTTGCATATAAAACTGTCGCACGCAACCTGCTTACAACTTGAGTTTAAATCAAGCACACAGCTCGCTTACATGCATTGTTGTAGGTGAGTTGTACACTTGATTTACACAGTACAACTCAAGTTGTAAGCAGGTTGCATGCGACAGTTTTAGGCAAAAGTTGTGTAGTCTAAATCAGCCTAACAGTAGACATGAATCCATAACCGAACGACACTTTGAGCAACCACCAGTCACCCAAACTCAGTAAAGGCAAGATAATGTGCAGACGGGCAAAAAATGTCAAGTACGCCTTCGTTGTCTTGGTCATGCAAACTCTCTGTTTTGACGCGAGAACGAGAACTGCCGACATGGGACGTGCGCGCACGCATAGTTGCGTGGGTTCAAAACAAGTTAACAGTATAACTGCAATTACAATGCTGGCCAACCGAATTCTAATCAATTAAGGCGCGGAATGTTACGCTAGCTGGGTTTGGCCTGCACGTGATCAAAGCGGCGTTTGAACCAATGTTACTCCGACGTCTATAATACGACAGGTTCTCCGAACTTGTGTTACTATATTCTGCTTTTCTGACGGCATGTAGTAAAACATGGACTGGACTCATTAGTAAAACATGGACTGGACCCGATTAGTAAAACATGGACTCTATTAGTAAAACATGGACTCTATTAGTAAAACATGGACTCGATTAGTAAAACATGGACTCGATTAGTAAAACATGGACCCGATTAGTAAAACATGGACCCGATTAGTAAAACATGGACTCGATTAGTAAAACATGGACTCGATTAGTAAAACATGGACTCGATTAGTAAAACATGGACTCGATTAGTAAAACATGGACTCGATTAGTAAAACATGGACTCGATTAGTAAAACATGCCTAAATGTAGTTCCTTGTCTGTTTTTTTTTGTAAATTGTAATTTTAATAACATCAACTTTAGTGTACAAGAGATCTCATCGATATTTAACGTAAAGTTTCAAGAAGCATCGGCCATTGTAAGTAAATGTGGAATAAATACCAAATTATTTACCGACAGCTAGGTAATGCTATATAGATATAGATGATTTTTTGATTTTTATGTAAACAGAAACACCTTTGCTATTTAACACGTCCACATCGATTTATCCCAGGAGAAACGTAATTTGGACGCGGTTGCGTTGTGTACACGATATTCTTTATAAATACTGATATACTCGATAAAAGATTCTCCGACAATCGGCATGTTTCCTGCAATACTAATTTACGAATTTTGGATTGATAGTGTCAGACATTCTGACCACCGGCAAACAATTGCCAATAGTTAAATATGAAGCATTTACATATTTGTTTGCGTGCGAACAACAGCCGATAAATAGATCTGGGGTCGGTTGTATAAATTAAACAAATCTATGAACTATTGGCTACAAGCAAACTAGACTTTTCTTTTCTGTCTAAACATAATAATAATGCATAAAACTACTCATTTAATTGATAAAATTAAGTTCAAGTACTTACAATATATGTATATTGAGAAGGAATGTTTTTAATTTTTTGCCTATACACCCTTTAAGCCAAGCGCATGTGATACAACCGACCTCTATTCAATTTCGTGTTAGGTTTGTAAGGTGGGGGGGTGGAGATGGGGTCATCAGGGAAACGTACATAATTAGGAAGTTCCTCCTGGAATAAATCGATACGCGACACTTTCAAAAATATCTTGCCCCCACAGACTCAAGAAATACGGCAGCTTAAAATATAACACAATGAAAAATTGTTTAAACTGTTTCAGGAAAAATTGGTCTGAATCATTCAGTGGAATAGCACATCATGCCTACCAAGAGTTCATGTTTTACTAAGGGGCCGAACATTTAACTTTTGAGGGGGGGGGGGGCGGGATTTAAAAAAAAAAATTCCTGCAAAGCTATTCTGAACAAAAAAAATACTTGCACTAACAAACTGGGGAAAAAAGTATCCTGCCCCAGTATTTGGTGCAGAGATCGATTTGACCAGTCCGAGAAGATCAGCTGGTTAAGTTTGATTTTCAGGGACTAGTGTAAGATTAATTCCCTGTTGGAAAACTCCTCAGAATGCTGGAAATAGCTTATCTGAGCTTTAAAAAATCCAAAATATTCTGGGGGGAGCATGAGTCTCGCACTCTCTAGAGTCTTGCACCCTCTAGAGTCTCGCACCTTCGGTGGTCGACTCAGTTGTCTCAGAGTCCTAGTTAAGCATGGCCTGAGCTGCTGCCCTATGACGTATACTTATTAGTTAAACCATGCATATATATGCTGTAGGTAGCTACAGTGATACAGACAGGGCTGTAGCGAGGAGGGGGGGGGGGGGTATTGGGGGGGGGTTAACCCCCC